CGCCACGTCCAGCGGAGTTTGTGGGCAGGAAAACCAAAACTGCAAATATCGTGTCAGCTTGATGCGAGTGGACTCGGCTGAATCCCGTTTGCGGCTCACAGCACCTGTCTTTGGTTTAGGTCAGTACGTTTCATACTTGGCAGTATGAATGCCTCAAAGGCACGGGCTGCTTCCGAACGGATGTGCCATGTTGTTCGAAAATTAGACCAAAAGTGCGATGAGAGGCGTGAGTTTTTAGAATAAGCACAATGCCATATAAACACTAAAATTTCTCTTGTGAGGTTGGCGTATGACGAGAGACACAGCGCTGCGAGGAGAGGGAAAACGCGAGAGAGCACGTTGTAGGAGAGAGGGCGCAGACGCCGTGTACACCGCGATTGATAAAGATGACAGCACGACGACTACTTTTTATTGACACCTGATTTAAAGCCGTGGCTTTAACAATTCTCTCTATTGTTTTATGCTGTCTTTTAGGGGAGAAGAGAATAGAAATTGGAAAAGCTGAGTTGGGATGAAATGGTGCCCCGGTAGCGTAACTGGTAGCGCACTTGCCCGGAAAGCGAGAGGTGCGGGTTCTAGTCCCGCCTGGGGCGAAAGTTTTGTTCACAACCCAGCATTCTTGTGAAAAATTGCAAATCATTCGACAACGGTGAAGGACTTCCACTACAAAAGTGCAACAGAGCAGATAGTTAGTTCATGAAAAGTTAGAAGAATGACATCACTGATGTATTTTAGGGTCTCCGAAAGAAGAGCTGGCGAGGCTAGTGAATTACCTAAGTGCAGCTGACTGCAGCTACTCCTTTAGCGGATCTTTTCCGTCCTTCTGCACCAGAAAATTCGGCGATGAAAGCAAAGTGGCATTGATTACGTTAGTTCTGTCATTTATTCTTATCTGGTCCTGCGAAGAGCAAAAATGTCAGGGCCAATGATCATCACAGTTCATAATATTGAAATATACACGAGCTCGGTACTTGCTTATGCGCTTGTTCGATTTCCATCGTTGACCTGTGCTTGACCTTCGCTCTACACGCCTTCATCTTCTATGCCGATGTCGCTTGCGTATTTGAGCAAGGTTCCGCTGCTTAGCGTTCGCGAACGCTCTTACATCGGCTCCTAGCCTCGACCCAGTGGAAAGGTCTTCAAGTTAATGCGTCCGGTGATGGATAGAGTGAATTCATTTTCTATGCGCACCTGAGACACTGACTTGGATTAACCGGTGTGATCTCACAAGTAGACAGATTCTCACCTGTATTTTTTTCTTCAAAGTCTTCAATAAGGAGCTCCAGAAACAAAGAGAAATTTGGCTCCATATTTTCTACCGTAGCGAGCATCCTTATGGAGCTTGTTTGATATATTAATTCCGTTCACCCTTGGTGTTGTTTTAGTTTACTTTTTCATATAATGAGTTTGGCAGTCTCGAAATACCTACGTCGTTGGCAGGACTGCCCAATTTCCACGTCATCACTCCAAGACCAACACCAGAAAGGTTAATTTTAGCGTGACTGAAATCGTTACACCGGCTTCCCTGCACAGTCACTTAATTGCACTATTGAATTCGAAAGTCCATCATAAAAGGTGAAGCTTAGTGTATTTTCCCTGCTACATTCGGCACTGAACTTCTATTGTAGAAAAAATTTATCAGTGAAAAATGACAGAGTGGTCCTCGTGCGGCAGGATCGTTATTTGAATTATCACTAAAACGTTGACAGACTCTACACACATTTCAGTTTCCAGAAGTTTGCCAGTCTCAAAAAGCTCTGCTCGATCGGAAAGTAAGCAATGATTCCACAAATATATTTCTTCATGTCCAATTTTCAGTACACGCCTCAACATTCACCGTTACGGTATTGGACCACCCAACAGGAACGAGACCGTCGATGGCAAATGGAAGCTTGACACCTTAGGTTGATCATCATGTTTAGCTTGCGAAGAAAATAGGAGATTGGTCACCATGTGACTGAATTTTACATGAAGCATCCTTAATCACTGAAGCTTCATTCCAAATCTCCATCCAGAGGTCTTCACGGCTTTATCTTCCATAATCAATGCTTTTTAAGGAGCCATAATGACTCGCATATTCGGCGAAGCTGTCATTGATCTACTGCTGATCGATATGAGTGGGGGAGAAGTGGCCATCTACCCAGAATTGCTGCGCCTAGCCAGCAAGGGCAAAATCAATCAATTGGCCATTCGTTCGGCAGTGATCTAATTTTCAAAGCACGCTTATCACTTCAATAGGGGTTAAGTAGGTCACTCCTTTCCTGGTATTTCCTGCTTATTCGGTAATCCTTGATTCATTCATTTGTCTGCTGGACCTTTTATATTATTAATGAAATTAGAGCATTTCTCTATTTTGGATGTAATCGTTGTTATTACTGGACTTTTTTGGTGCGCCCTTGAGTGCAAGAAAATAAATAAACAAATGCTGGAAATTTCAGCTTATGGTCTGAGGAAAATGAGAACTACCGAATGATCTACTGGAACTTGCGCCAAATGCAGAATTACGGGTACTCTCGACGGATTGGACGAGTTGATCTGCCTCGTTATGATGTGGTTTTCGAGAGAAAATAAAGTCTATAGGAAAATATTATGTTCAGTACAGGAATAAAAGAGAATGCGTGGCGCATCTCAAAAAGCGTTGATCAGCATTAAGAGCTTTACCCCTCCATACTTCATGTCAGTGCGTCCTATATTGTCCATAACCGATAGAACAGTTTCAAGAAGACAAGAAAATGAGCCAACAAAAGAAAACACCGTCTCGCGCCTCCCTTTCCCTATCACTTCGCTACGACTTTTGCGATAAGTATTTGCGACTCATTGTTCGTTCAACCTCGTCTTCCTGTGATTTCTGTCCCATATCGCTGACCAAATCCAAATAAATCGATCAATCAATAGCAAATATTATAGAATGAAGGCCTTTTATAATCGAAAACTG